CTAAAAACATCTCCCTGAGGGGCAGTCATCTAATTTACCACACATCTAGCAGCTTGCTGGCTGGAGGGCACCATCACACGCTCTCCCTTCCTTCCTTCCTTCCTTCCTTCCTTCCTCCCTTCTTTCTTCCCTCCCTCCCACTTTCTTTCTTTTGAATCAGCAGAGATATTCTCTGGTTCTTGTTCAGGTAAGACAATTGAGAGCAGAGACAAAGTTTTTGCTTATTCAGTCCTTGTTTACCTAGGTTTATCCAGGTTTTCTGACTAAAGCAACTTACTTGATGAAAAATTCCAATGTACTCAAAAGGCTGGCTTCTTTCTTCCCCTGGTGATATCTGACTTTTCCCAAAATGCTTTTGTGTAGGAGAAAATCTAACACATTTTCCAATTACAATAAATATTTATGTATCTTTATCCATTGCTGATAAGTGGCAGAATTCAGTGATCATTTATTATTGATCAATACTGGTGTGGTATAGACTTCTAACTGTCCCCAGTATCTATTTTTCCTGTTTGCTTTTAGTACTAGAACCCCTGAGCTTTAGCAGGGAACACAGCTGCCCAGCTAGAGACTAGATGCTCTCGCTTTCCTCACTGTGAGGTGTGTACATGTGGCTAAGTGTTCACCAGGAAGAAGTGATGTGTGCATCTCTGCGTTTCCCTCTCCACTTCCTTTCTCTCCCCTTCTCACAGACCAGAATGGGAAATGGGACAGTAGCATAGGGGGCAATGGAACAACAACATAGATGGGATCTGGGATACAGAGTAAGCACATTGAACATAACCATCTGGACCAATACCCTACCTCTGGATTGAAAGACATTGGAAAGTAATAAACTTCTTGTAGTTTTGTTTCAGCAGCTTAGCCTAGACTCTAATTAAAAACCTGGGTTAGGCATCAGAAGGATTGTACCCAAGGCTTTTGATAAATAATTTTACTTTTCTGAGCCTCGGTTTCTGCATCTTAAAATTAAGAGGTTGAACTAGAATGGAAATTCTAACTTTTTGTACCATTGACTCTTCTGGTAAACTGGTAAAGCCTGGAGACCCCTTCTTGGAATACTGCCTTTAAATGCATAACATAAAATAAAGTACATGAGATAACCAAAGAAACCAACTATATTGAAATATAGTTCCAAACATGGACCCTTTGGAAGTCTGTTGATCCCAGTTAAGGACACCTGGATGACCTCTGATGTTCCATCTTGATCAAAATGCCTATGAGTTTATGACTCTATTTAGTGCATAAGTGATATAAAAATTAGCAGGTGAACCTGTATTGTTTATATTTTTATTTTCTATATATCATGATTTTTTGGCATCTTAAAAGGGAGAGCCCCGTACAGCCAGCCAATTCTTGGAAAGAGCAAAGGGCTCAGCATGGAGCATGACTTTGATATGCAAACTAATCCATCCAAAGCCAGACCACCTTGATCTGGCCCAGGTGCCCCAGGGGGAAATAGTCCTCTGCCTTAATCATCTCAGGACCTGGTCCCAGACAACTAGGTACACCTATAGCTAGAGTCCACCCAAATTATTCATACTAGCCAATCATAAACTGTCTTGCCCTACCTTTCCTTCCCCACAGCAACTGCAATAAAGGCCATGGTTTAGGCTCCCCCCTCTCTCCTGCCCCTTATGTCTTCTGACCAGTCAATGCTGGTGCTTCCCCATGTGACCCTACATAGTATGCTGTGCCTTCTGTCTCTAGGATTTGGATAAAACACACTTGTTTCCCTGAGCCTCTCCTCTGACTCTTGTAGCCACACCTGTCTGGCTATCACATAAAAGAACATGGAACACTACCCTTGTAGCCTGGAGGTGCTAATGGTCTTCCTA